AAAGGGAAGACAAACATGCAAACATTCAAGAAATAAGGAAGTTGTATTCATGAAAAGGCACATCGGCCATATGAAAAGCTTATATTGTCTCAAAAACAAAGAAGTACAAAGTATAAAAAACAAAGGAAAAGAACATCAAAACTACGATTCCTCGACATCAAAGACGCACGTCCAATGATGCCTGCTTAGGGGTAGCTTCCTTGGGGACCTCCTCAACCTCCTCATCTTGAGTCAAGTCTACGACTTGCTCATTTTGAGGAAGAGACTTGGCTCCAGCAACGTCTTTTGACTTTCTCACCAAAACCTCCTCCTCAGATTCAGAGTCATCAACGGATTGAGTTGGAGTTTGAGGGAATAGAAGTGGAATGGTGTCGGCGTTCCTGAGGGGCGAGTCCACGGGGACTTCAAGCTTTTGGTAGCTTCCTTGGGGACCTCCTCAACCTCCTCATCTTGAGTCAAGTCTACGACTTGCTCATTTTGAGGAAGAGACTTGGCTCCAGCAACGTCTTTTGACTTTCTCACCAAAACCTCCTCCTCAGATTCAGAGTCATCAACGGATTGAGTTGGAGTTGGAGGGAATAGAAGAGGAATGGTGTCGGCGTTCCTGAGGGGCGAGTCCGCGGGGACTTCAAGCTCTTTTAGAAAAGACATCCAACCAAGGGTGAAACCCTTGTTGCATGCCTGCTTCACTTGCTTTTCATAGTCTGCCGTGACATCGGCCACCCCTTCGTTGTAGCCCTTCTCATCGGCTGCTTTTACTTCGGTCTCTTTTGTGGCCAGAGTGTCTTGTAATTCTTTTTTAGCCTGGGCCGCTTTCTCCTCGGCATCATTCTTTTCAGCCTTAAGCACCTCATTGATGGCCTCAGCAGAGTCCGCATTTTCTTCGGCGTCGTTTTGAGCTTTGATGGCAGCCTGGGCTTGATCCTCCAAAGTCTTCATCATTGACTGCAGATTTTTGTTAGTCTTTTGCAGACTGGAGACCTCCCTCTTCTTCTCGGCCAGCTTCTCCCGGTTCTGGAAAGATTGTACTGAGAAAGAATGAGCATGCTGGATGGCCTGAAAGAAAACAAAAGTTATTAGAAAATATTGTAAGTATGTAATGAAAAGAAAGAAAGAAAAATTTCCTAATAAAGAGACTTACCTGAACAGAGTGCTGGAGCATTAGAGTATAGTTCTCATATTAGCTCACCTCGGCGTTTCGGTCGAGATCGCCGGGAAGGAGCAGAGCGGTACTAAGGGCGACGGCAACATTAATGTCGTCGGCAATGTCGTTAGCCATAACTGGCTTATCTTCCAAAGTAATTTGGAGGGCCCATGGGGCATCGCGCTTTGAAGACTCTGAGATGGTTATAGCAGATGACCTCGGCCTCTTTGATCGGGTGGACTCAGATGGTTGGGCCTCGGCAGGCCTCTTCTCCACGGCAGATTGGGATTTATCACTCTCAGCTAGTTTAGAGATGTGCAGGGTGGCCTCTGAGCCTTTTTTATTCTTTTTTGCTTTGGTGGAGGCTGGGTTTGCGTTGGCTGAGCGTCAACATCAGAAGGGATGCTGGCTAAGAGGTCGTTTGCAACAGCTTTCTGGTGCCCCATCTCGGAAGAAAACACAGTTCGTCGCCGACGTTGTCGCTAAGATGGTGGGATCAGGTATGGAGCCGAGGTTGACAGCTGCTCAGCTGGATCAGAGGTTGATCCTTGGTCTGTCCGAGATGTGGACGCGACTTATGGAGTTGTGGCAGAAGGTGGAGAAAGGCTTTTCTTCTTATTTTTTGGGACGTCGGGAAGAGCCGACTTATAAGTAGGGATGAAGTTGAAAAGTAGAGGGGCCTTCCGCTTGTGGACTGGCAAATTCAGTAGTTTCTTCAAGTCTTTGCTGGGAAAGAAAGACTGACGGAAGCCCTTTGGTGGCTGAAGGAGAGCTGCAAGAAAAACAGACATTAAAAACAAATAGAGTATCGAAGACTTTGAAACAAACAAGTAATATGGACACAGGGCTCTTACCATTGCCCTCTACAAAAACTGATCGAGGAAGAGAGTAGAGATGGAGGTCCTCGTCTGGAGCGAATTCCCAGTTACCCGAGGTAATGAAGTAATTGTCTCCAGCTCCTTTGTTGGAGTCTGGGAGATCGGCTACGATTTTGTATTCTGTAGACCTCGGCTTAAGGTAGTAAATATAGCCCGTATCTTTTTTGAGGCCACACATAGTGTAGCAATATTGGATGTCGGCTAAGGTAATCCTAGCATTTTCTTGTTTCGCTAAGGCAATTATACCGTTGATAACTCGATACGAATTGATGGCAAGTTACATAGGGTTTAACTTATAGTAATGAAGTATTCCACGAAAAAGGGTGTTTAGTGGGAACCGAAGTCCGCACTCGATAAAGGCCACTACAGCGAAGGGCATAGAATCAATGGTGGGCATGATGGAGTCGTCATCCCCAACCAACCTCAGATGGACGTCGGTAGGGATGGAAAACTCTCGCCTAAAGTATTCTAATTTTGTCGGTGTGTTTACCCTATGCTTCCACATATCCATGATATCGGCTTAACTGAAGGGGTTGGATTTCAGAAGGGTGTGTTCCTGAAGGGTTTTATGGACCTCGGCTAAAGCTAGAAGATACACAGAATCAGTGGGGAATCGTTTCAATTTTCCTTAACAATTGTTTTGAGTTCTACAAACAAATCCCAAGCCTAGATCTATGGAAACAAAGATTGAAGGCACGAATCTGGAAAACAGAAAAGCAAGAACGCGCTTCAGAATCAAGAACAAAGATGGACTATCAAGAACATTGTAAATACGAAGGGTAACAGGCTAGGAATAGTAGCAAAAGTACAAGAAAAAATTGGCAAGCAATACGTACAATCAAGACGTGAGCAAGAGCAAAGTCGTGGAATAATCACATTCAAATATATGATTCGCAAATTGAATGTTTGAACAAAATAGTAATGGCAACGAGTAATGAAGGACATCAAAAACTGAAAATAGGGAAAACAATAAACTCACCGAAGAGAGGAAGCCGGTGTTGAGTTCGCCGAAGTCCGACGAACGGCAGCTACAGAAATGATTAGCAAGAACCTCGCCGGAGGAGGCGGACATAGCGAGTTGTAGAGCTTTAGAAGCTTGAACAGTGGAGGGTTTGGAAGAAAAAACTAGAGAGAGAAAGCTTTAGAGACAATGGAGAAAAGTGAGAAAATAAGGAAATGGGCAAAAAGTTTTGTTAAAACTTGAAACGGCAGCAAAACAGAATTAATGCGCCTAAAACAACGTGAGCGTCAGACGGCGCACGCATGCGCGAGACGATTTAGAAGCACGTACCAAGTACGATCCAGTAAGAGAAGGACACGTGGTTGAAACAGTTGAAATTGTGATGCATGACAACTCACACGCGTGAAGAAGTTTTTGGAATTCTTGATCTTTAAGAAGACATGTCGGCCTATAGTGATGAACTCGGCTTAAGCGAATTCTTGTTCTTTAAAAGACATGTCGGCCTGTATGATGACCCCGATTAAGACACTTTAAGCAGACATACTGGCAGGAAGTAGCGATATAGGTTCCATCACCTCAAAATGCCGAGGTAATAGAACTTAGGGGGCAGTTGTGGGAATATATTTTCTGAGTCCCAACACGTGGCCAATGTGACGCCGACGTGTCAGCCGAGGTGTCATGTGTCCAGGTTATGACGCCGAGGTTATTTCGGCAAGGCCGAGGTTATCTTCGAAGATATCGGAATCCAAGATATGCAGATAAGGGATGAGAGTCCTAGAATAAGGAAGGACTATAGCATGGATAAGGATAAAATTCTTAGGAAGTTTTATCTTTATCTCTTGGAGAGTCCAAGATAAGCACTGAGCAAGAGTCTATTGAAGCTAGGCTTCTATGAGGACAAGGATTGAGGTAACTATAAAAGAGAGGCACCCCCGATGGGTCTAAGGTACGCAATTTGTATTCTGAACAGTGAGTTTAACACTATTGATTATCTTTGAGAGATTTACTGAGTTGATCGTCGGAGTGCCCCCGGTGGACGAACCACCGCCGGAATCTTCTATTTCTGTTGCAGGTCAGACAGGTGCTATTTATTCTGCCGGTGCTCTCCAGCTGAATACTGAGTTGGCAGTGTGATCGAAAAATCACTCACACAGTCAGTATGTATTTTTTTTTTAATTATATAAAGTTCTACACAAATTGAAACCTAATTTAAATTATACTAACTTTACCTATTTTATATGGACTCTATTTGATAAGTATTTCTTTTCCACATACTTTTCATCGTAAATTGAGATAATTCACAAATCTAATACCAATTTTACGTTTCATGTTTTTTTTTTTTTAATTCTTTCAAGGGTATTACGTTTTTCTTCTACATTATTTTATATAATCACAACTCATATGAGGAAAAATCTGCACAATAATAATATTCTCGATGAATTTTGAAATTTAAAAAATTAAATAATTAGAATTATTTTTAGTTTTATATTATTAATTTTTCTTCTAATTTAATTATTATTTTTAATATGAAAATAAATATTTATTTTATTATTTTATAATTTAATATATATCATATAAAATTATTATATGATATTAAAATTATATTTTTATAACACATATTTCACGGTCACAATTTTTTTTAAAAAAATAACGAAAGTATTACACGGGACAAAGTGTCTGTTTGGCAGAAATTATTTACAGCTTATTTCAGCTTTCAGTTTAATTTAAACTATTTTGATGTGTTTGATTTAGTTTATAACTTATAGTTTATAGCTTTGTGAAGTCAGAAATCAGCTTCTTCTTTGAGTGGGGCAGGAAATGCTTTAAGAATAAGCTGAAAATCAGATTAAACTAAAAGTTATAAATTATAAACTGTTTAGACATAAGTTATAAGTATTTTCTCACAACTCTACCAAACAGGGCTAAAGGCTAGTATTACTAAACTTTATATACTGGTAATGATAATCTGTTGTGGACCATCCAAAGCAAAAGCAAAGACGAAGGAGCAAAGGAAGGATGAAAGAGGGGCCCACACCAAGGGGAGGATGTGTCGCACATTGCAAAGCTCGGTTGCTGAGCTGCGTATATTAATTTAGTAAAGCAGGTGCAGGGTGTGAAAAAGAAGAGAACCACCGAACCCCCAAATAATACAAATACAAATACAAATACAAATAGGGGAGAGGGAGGAGATGCAAATTCAAAGCTCATTTGTGAGTGCAAAGGCGGCTTCAGTGTGTGTGTGTTCTCCGATCATCAGAGTGAAATCCCTCTACTACACTCAGAAGATCACCCACGACGATCCTTCCTCTGCCGGTTCTATGGCAGCTCCTCCTCCACCTGCCCCAAAATGGTCTCAGAGGACTATTACTCTCCCTCCTCAGAGGCGAGGTTGTCATCTCATCACTCCCAAGGTCTCTCTCTCTCTCTCTCTCTCTGCTACTTGTATCCTTATTCTCTCTTACTCCTCAATTATGCTTTGTTTTATTATTATTATTCATGCTTCGTCTCATCTTTCTGTTGGATTTTCTGTTCATAATACATACCTCTGATTTTTGCTTCGCCTCCTGGGTAAGTGAATGTGAAGTGAACACTACTCACTACTCTAGTTGTGATCTGCAACTGAGTGCAGAGACGAATGCCTACCACGCGTTTGTGTGCAGTCTAAGGGTAAAAACTGCAAGTCAAATCTTTGCCTTAATGAAGAGGATTTAAACTACTTTTTTAGATGCAGTCAAATTATTATGCAACTGTGTGGAGTTCAAACACAAATAACTGCAGGCTTGAATTCAAAGATAATACAAATAACTTGATATTTTCAAAGACAACTAGAATTGAAAATGGCAAACTGCACTGCAACCAAGTGTTGATAAACTAATTGTACAAGCCTAAATTGAGAATTGAAACTGACACTGTTTGATGTATTGGTGGTGCGCAACCCTCATTTTATCTTTGCGTTGGCTATTTATAATGGCTGGCTGCGTGCAAGTTCAAACATCAGCACCTCACATCCTTCTGTTTTCAAGACTGCATGTCCTCCACCTTCTTCATTGTTGCACTCCTTATCTAGTGTGTCTTGCTCTCACACTCTGGTTGCCCCACCTGTCCCAACTTTCCAATGCCTTCATTAATTCAAAGAGAATCTACACATTCTACACTACTGATTTTTTATGGTTGAGGCTTCACAGATTGCCATGTCCTCCTTTTCTTATGTAATGCAGACTTACTTCCATTGACTTGATGGAATACTTCTCCATGTGTGACATGTTCTTTTCCTTTGACCAGGTGTTGAACAATACCACAACTATCCCCTGCTTCATGGGATATGAAATAACACTTAGTTGTTGGGATGACTTATACATGCCCTTCTTCCATAAGTTGCCATTTGTATAGATATAGTTACACATGAAGATTCCACATCTATCATAGCAAAACTACTTCTTTTAACATAAAAGCGGAGAGAAAAAAGTTTATAACAAACTCCTCTCAATTAATCTCAGTTTAATATAAATCTGACCCAAGTTACTTCAACCAACCCTTTCTTACTTGGCTTCCATCACTACGTACCCATTTCCTGTTGGCTAGCCATTTTTAGCCTATGGCTTGGCTTGGTTGGAGATTAGTCACCCTTAAAGTGATTGTTTGGAAGTTGGACACCCTTGAAGTTTTCAACTCTCACCTATTTCCTAATTTTGTTTTGTTATTTTTGTCGAAGATTTGACTGTATCATCAATTGGTATTTGAAATTAATTTGGTGTGTATCCCATGCGCCATGGTTCTAGCCACTTAAACGAATCTTTACTCACCCTGATCAGAAAGGTCTTTGTTTAGGTGTCTCAAAAAAATTGAAAAGAGCGAACTTTGAAAGTGTTGTTCGTTATGTTGAATCCTATGAACAGAATTGGGAGCAAACAAAGCAAGAAAATTTCTACAATTAACACTAAGTCAACCAAATTCTGGCTGGTGGTATTGGGGCATGTGATTAAAAAACAGAAACTTGTTTCCTAAATTCTGGCTGATGGAATTCCTGCAACTAGAAGGAGACAATCCTTCAGACTATATTTCACATGCAAAATGGCTTCCTAAATAGGCTCAGAACAATAATGTGGTGAAGGTGATGCACTGATTCATTATGGTGTATTATTTTATGTTGGGATAACTCAAACAAACACATCAAATAGTCAAAATTAAGCTCTTGACAGGCGCGCAGGCACAAGAGAGACTCAAGGAATGAACAACAAAATGTCTCTGTTGGAATTGTGGTAAAAACTGGAATTAGAAATATTGTTGTGAAAAGAGGACTTTATATGGTTAAATTATCCTTCAATCATGAAAGTGTTGGATAAACTTTCATAGCCAACCTTGAGGATAAAGTTGGTTTTTAGGGGGTGGAATGATTGGATCCAATATTGTTAGAAAATATTATTAAGCTATATTTTGATCTACTTCTTTATTTAAGCTTTAATGAGAAAGATTGTATAGGAATTGTAATTAATCAATCTTGTAATACATCAATCAATAATATACTTCAATATTTTTACAATATACTTCAATATTTTTACATGGTATCAGAGCCAATTTAGAACCTAATATTTTTCGCTTCACCGGCGGACGGCAACCTCACCTTAGCCGTCCGCCGGACCTCAACCTATTCCTCTTATTTTCTATCCATACCTTTCCATCACTGCCTAAATCCTCTCTCCTCTACCACCACTGCAGCCGGAGATCCAGAAGTCATGGACGTCGAAGCCTTCTCAGCAACGACGATGGGATCGTCGATAATGACGGCGGTGACTGAGAACTTGAGGACCATGGAAGCAATGACGACCAGTATGATCAGTGGTCTGATGAATCCGCATTAAAACCATTTTGCGCTACAGTCAGCGGCTTGAAATCAAAACTGATGTCCACCTCTCTGGGTTTACCAGAAAACCCATTTGATGCTGAAAATAAATCAATTGATCCATGTGAACCATTGCCAAACTCAGATGAAAACCCATTTACCTCAGAATTTCCTTGCACCTTCCTGTCAACCTGAGCCCTCCGACCTCAACGAACCCGACCCATCTCAGTACCTCCAGATCCAATTCAGTCCGAGTCACCGGACATCCTCTCCCGCTACTGCACTTGTAATATCCCCGTGGATATGGTGATCTTTTGATCGGCTTTGGACCGTACTTCCTCCAAGAGTCCTCGTCCGCCGGAATATCGGCGACTTTCGGACTTATCGCTGGGACCCTGATAGTTCTCCTCACCCGCGATTTCCTCTTCCTTGAGCAGTGACATAATCGGAGAAATATCACGGTCACTCCGATGAACTTTCCGGCAAGCTCTCTGGCTCCGCAAGCGCCCGCCGCCTTCACGGCGGCGAAGTCTCGCACATCGGCGCTGCAGACGGCGAAGTCGATGCCGGTGGAGAGATGGATCGATTGCTTCAGTGAAGATCCAGGGCTTCAGCGACCTCAGCTACTTCTTCTACTTCGGTTTCAGTTTCAAGGAAGCACTATTGATACCATAACACTTTCCTGTGGGGGGTGGGCCATCATCAAAGACATGGCCAAGATGAGCATCACAAAGCTGCACAAAGCACTTCTTGCCTAACCCACGAAAAGATAAAGAAATCTTTTTTTTTCTGACGCCACTAACCCTTGCAAAGCTTTACCTGAAACCCTTTTTCTTTTATTTATTTAACCACACACACACTCACCCCACTTCTTCTCTCTCTCCTCTTTTTCAAACCCACAAATTCTTTTTGACAAAAGTGGGGCGGTGGCCAGACAACAAAAAAAAAAAAGAGGGTTTGTGTCTGTGGATTAAAAAAAAATTTGTGGGTTTGAAAAATAGGAGAGAGAGAAGAAGTGGGGTGAGTGTGTGTGTGTGGTTAAATAAAAATGTGGGTTTGGTACTGGTACTACACTCTAGAGACATAAAAACCAAAACAGACTAATAACAAAAAAAAAAAACATAGTGATGATATATTGGTCTTTTAACGGTAAGACTTCTGGAACCTAGCACGAGCACCGCGACCACCAAACTTCTTGGGCTCGCAGCGCCTAGGATCGGCGACGAGGAGAGTACGATCGTACCTGACGAGAATGTCCTTGATCTCCTTCTTCGACTGCTCATCAACATACTTCTGGTAGAAAGCGACGAGTGCTTTGGCGATGCTCTGGCGGATGGCGTAGATCTGGGAGGTGTGGCCACCGCCCTTAACGCGGATGCGCATGTCGACGCCGGCGAAGCGTTGGCGGCCGAGGAGGAGGATGGGCTCGTAGGCCTTGTAGCGGAGGATCTCAGGCTCCACCAGCTCGATGGGGCAGCCGTTGATCTTGATCAGGCCACGGCCACGCCTGCAGTAGGTGACGGCCACGGCGGTCTTCTTTCGGCCGAAGCACTGGACCGACTCTACCGGAGGAGCTGCCATTGTTAGAGAGATTGGGCGACTGCAAAACCCTAACCCTAGATAAAAATGAGGAGGATGAAGGTTTGAAAATGGTAGAGTCGGAACGTCAGTGATGATGGGGAATTTTTGAGAGAGGAAAGAAAAGCGGAGGAAGAGAAGACTTTGTGGCAGTGGAGTGAAGGTATGTGTACCAATCTCCAGCGGGCAGTGAAGGTAAGGTTGCCGACCGACTGCCCGCCGGTGAGAGAAATATAGGTTTAAATCTTATCTCTGCTCTGATACCATGTAAAAATTTATGTATTATTGATTGATGATTGTTACAAGATTGATTGATTTGTGTTATGTATTACAACTCCTATATATAGAAGAGAAGGTGGTAGTAGGTGTAGTGTAGTGGAGGTGGTAGGTGAAGTGGGTGCTAGTGGAGATGGTAGGTGGAGGTGCTAGTGGAGATGGTAGGTGGAGGAGCAAATTGGTAAATTCTAACACGGTGCCTTAGCCTTGAGCTTAGACACTTGGGGGCAATTTCCAGGAGGCGCCCAGGCATGCTTGACTCTCACTCACTCAGTAAGATTAGTCCTCCACTTGAGTGTGCCCATCTCCATTTTGTGATGCGTTAACTCTTCTATTGAATAGGCTAATCACACACAAACACAATTTCAAATTTTCATAATAGTAACTCTTCATTGATGTTACACATATATTTATAGGTTAAAGACTCTCTTAACTCTATAAGGATTATTACTCAAATTTAGAAACAATTTTTTTAACAACTACTAATATTTTAGACTAACTGTGACTTCCAATTCTACTTCAATCATAAAAGGAAACTTTAATGATTTCTAACTCTACTTCAATATCAAAATAGGAAATTTGGACTTTTGACCACTAAGATTATTTTAGACATAATAAAACTCATATATAATAACCCATTTAATAACTTGGCCCAAAATAAAACCCATGGGCAATCTTACAGCCCATGTCCAGCAAAACTGAAATTACCATAATATCCTTAACTAATAAAACCTACTATAACGACATAAAGACTCAAAATAATTTCAAATCTTTAATTCTTGATGCCCTAAATGTGCTTCCTGTGAAATTTCAGATTTGCTTTTTTTCTTCTGTCCATGATCTTCATCACCTACGCTTAGTTCTTCAAAGGCGTCTTATTCCTACACTAGATAGTCTAGAGCAGGGCCTAAGAAGCACCTTGGGTTTGTATTGCTGTCAGGTGACCCCATGACCAATAACATTAGGGTCTTGTAGCTTGGTGACTAGAGCTAGACAGTTCATCAGGGTTATTCATCCCATTCTTTCTCAAGGGACTTGCACCTTGACTGGTATTAGAGAAAGATCTCCACATCAAGACAACTCTAGATCTTCACAAGAACATGTGATGTGCTCCATATGTCATATTCGAGGGTTTTGACATTGCTATTAGTTTTTGTTGTTACCACTTAGTTGTCAAGCCAAGCAGAGGGAGCCATCTATCCTTTTTCCCTCACTCGGGCATGTGACCAGGTGAGTTAGCATCCATGGTCTGACTCTACTATAAATAGATGACGCCCTTCATGCATATAAGACATTCGTTCTTTCTATCTCACACCCTACAAGATCTAACTCTCCATATTCGAACTTCTATTCTCCGTCATTCTATCTTTCCTGCTTCTAGACTGCCTTTGCTCTCACCAGGTCCATCCCTGGTGACCTAGAGACATCTCAGCAGGGTCCGTCATACTTGCTTACCACAACACTCCCGCACTAGCCCCAAAAGCCTCCATTGTCCACAAATTCAATATTATATTTATGTTTTTCCTGAGTTTCCATAGGGTCTGGTTATGTTAGGATTAGGAAGGTCAGATTTCTATTGAGTCTATATATATTTTGATGATGCTGTATGTTTAACTCTTATGTTTGGTTGGAGGTTAATCATCATCCTTGAAATGATTGTCTGTAGGTCCAACCCCCTTGAACCAGTGATGTCTTATTTTCTAATATTGCTTTGTTATTTTTGTTACAGATGCAATGTTGTTGTGTCAACTTGGCTTTGCTGATTTGTTTGAGCCTGCCTAGGCTGGGTTTCTTGTTTTGCCCACAAAACTCTGTAGTCAACTCTGTTTATTGCATGATCAAGCCTACCATCCCTTTAATCACATTTGATTAAGAAGATCATCTGTTTACACATCAGCTAGCTCTGTTTTGGACTGAAAAGATCTTGGTCTTTTACTTCTGTTATATTTTTAGAACTTGAAGTATTGATGGCTTTTAGTTTTAATTTTATGATTTGTATATATTCATAATGGAGGAGGGTAAAGTTGTTGGAGCCATTTGGTCATCCCATGGGTATAAAACCCTCCAGTAATTCCCTTCTTTCCCCATGCATTAAGGTTGCATATGATAACTTTGTCTGGCATAATGTTCTGGTATGTTGGTTTTATATTCAATAACCGTTAGTTCTGCTTTAGGTTTTGAAGGAAATTGGGCAAGACTTGTCAGGATTCAAATGTGGCCTTGCACATCTTTTTTGTAAGTGACCTGCACACTATTCACTTACCTAAAATGTCTTTTGAATTTAATTTGAATAATGTAACATTTTCATCTTTTCCTTTTCTAATTTGTTATCTGTGACAGTGCAACATACAAGTGCTTCTTTGACTATAAATGAAAATTATGACTCTGATGTTCGAGATGATACCGAGACATTTCTTAACAGCATAGTTCCAGAGGTGAGGTTATTATATTTGATTCGAAATGGCAGCATTTTTGTGTTGTAGGGGGGTATATTTCAATCCTGAATACCATTTTTTCAGGGGATGTCTGCACCATGGAAGCATACACTGGAAGGTTAGTGTGGGACATGTTTCACTGAATCAGGGCAAGGGTATCAAATAACATTATCTTCTTGCAAGTTTCATACCAACTTGACTGTATATCATAATTCCCTCTAACCAAAAATTTATGTCTCATTTGTTCTATAGAACCTTCAAACTTCTCACTTTGAATGCAATGAGCGAGAAGTGTCATTAAGGTTTTAATTTTTCTGGTATGACTTCTACCAACCATATGGAAGTGAAGAAATGTCAGAGGCATAAGAGTAATGCCTCATCTTGCACTTGACAATTATAATATAATACTTGCATATGTTTGGCTTGCTTATGGTGGACACAACTTTGAAATGAAATGTGAGCTGCGTGGACTATCAATAATTTACATTATATTTAGTTGAAACTGTGAGAATATTATGTTAATTATGGAAATGTGTTTTAGATTTGATTGTGAATATTAGATTGATTGTATTTCCTATTTCAGATTAGGGTTAGGATTGCTATGTGTATTGGTTGTAATCTTTGTATTAGCACAATTTGAATATACAAGTTTATTCAGAAACTTACATTCAGAGCTACGTTCGTAACCTAAGCCGCTTGATTCATGAATTCTTCTTCTGGCTTCTGAATCACGAATTGATTGAGTTCTCTCTCTCGATTCATGGCCGGTTGAAGCTTTCTCTCCCTTGTTCCGCCTGGTTCGAAGTTCTGGGTCATCTGGTCAACATCATCGGCTCACGTGATTCATAATCGAACTATGTAAGTGGGATTTCTGGTTCGTCAAACTCGCCTGAAGCTTGCATCTCTTTTTTTGGTTCAGATTTCGATCGCGACTCCCTCTCTCTAGGTCTGATCGCGATCACGAGTCTCTGTCTTTGCCTCAGTGTCGTTACATCATCTGGGTTCAGTTTCAGGGTCTCAGTCCCTGCCTCTGTTGTTCGCAATCGCTCAGAATTACGTGTCGATTGAAGCTCTTTGCTTCGTTGTTAGTATTGACGAAGCTCCTCGACTTTGGTCCCGTCTCTGTTCTGTGGTCACTAAGCTCTCTCTCTCTCTCTTGTATTGGCTCTTTGATCTTAGTCCACCAGGTTTTGTCCTTATTACACTTTGACCACATCAATAGTAATAGTGTGTGTAATATATTGTGTGATCTGGTTCTGGTTGTTTGGGATTATTATATTTTGACTCATCAGTTCTTGGTTGTTACACTCGAACCCCTCATCTCTCTGGTTAGTACGATGTCTTTGGCTTTTGATGAGTGTGCCTGCTGCCATCAGAGGGGCCATTGGAAGTACCACTGCCTCAAAAAGAGATGTCTGTCTGCCTCATCTTTTCAACAGTCTTAGAACCAATTCCGTGCTCCTCCCGCTGCGTCTATTGCATTTGCTCCGGCTCCTGGTCCTAACTTGGCTTCCTTGACTGCTCAGATTAGCTCAATTTGGTACATTAGGTAAAGTTTCTCCTAGTAAACTTACTGAATGTCGGGGCTGTAAACTTGCTAAAATGACAGCCTTACCTTTTTGTAAAAGTACTTCTATATCTGATATATAATTTTCTTTAGTTCATACTGATGTTTGGGGCCCTTCTCCTGTTTTCACCAAAGGGGGTTCTGCATACTATGTGTCATTTATTGATGACTGCACCCGTTACACTTGGGTTTATTTTATAACTTATAAGTTTGACTTCTACTAAATATATTGTACTTTTCAATCTATGATCACTACACAGTTTGGGTTTACTATTAAATTGTTGTGGTTTGACTTGGGCGGGGAATACTTTAAAATTGAATTTTGTGAATATTTGGCCAAATTTGATACCATTCACTAAACTTCTTATACTGACACACCTGTCCAAAATGGTCGAGCTGAGCGTAAACACCGCCATCTCCTTAAGACAGCTAGGTCTCTCCTCTCTGCTTCCGTTCCAGCTCCATTTTGGGGTGAGGTAGTTCTTACTGCTGCTTTTCTTCTTAACCGTATGCCTACCCCTCTTCTTTCTGGTCGGTCTCTTTATGATGCTCTGTTTTCTCAGTTTCCCAATTGCTCCCTCCTTCGTGTATTTGGATCTGCTTGTTTTAGCTTTTTACCTCGTAAAAATAAGATCAAACTTAGTGCTCGGTCTGTCTTATTTGTCTTTTTGGATTATAGTCTCACTCAGAAAGGTTATCGTTGTTATGGCTCTGTTTCTCGTTGCCTCTATGTTTCCCGCTCTGTTGCCTTTCTCAAACGTTTGCCTTACTATCAACTTCCTCCTCTCACCGCCTCAGTTTTCGAAGAGGATTTGGTTCATATTGATCCGTTTCCTTCTGAGGTCCCGTCTGATGAGTACATCTCCACAGTTCCTTCCGAGCTTGTTCTATCTTCTTCCCCTGCTTTACCTCTAGCTATTTCTCCTTCGGTTTTTGTTCCTCCTCCGTTGTTAGTTTATTCTCGTAGCAAGGCTCCTTCTCCACTGGTTGTCTCTGCCCCTGCTGCTGATCTTCCTACTTTTGACGACTTTGATCCTGCTGCACACCGATATCCTACTCGAGCGCGTCATCCTCCAAACAGGTTAGGTTGGTCTAATACATGTTTTTCTGCTTTCTATCGTACTTTTTTGTTTGCTATTCACTCATTTTCAGGATCTCAGTCTTACAAGGAGGCCTGTCAGGATCGTCATTGGGTCCAAGCTATGGAGGATGAGTTGTTTGCTTTACAGAAAACTAATACTTTAGGAGTTGGTTTCTTTGCTTGCTGGTAAGAATTTGGTTGGTTGTAAATGGGTCTACAAAGTCAAGGCTCATTCTAATTGTTCTCTTGAGCGCTACAAAGCTCGTTTGGTTGCCAATGATTTCTCACAGGAGTATGGTATTGATTGTGAGGAGACCTTTGCTCCTGTTGCCAAGATGATTACTGTTCGTACTTTGATCTCTGTTGCTGCTGTTCGCTCTTGGCTTCTTTATCAAATGGATGTTAAGAATGTTTTTCTTAATGGCCATCTCACTGAGGAGGTTTACATGCGTCCTCCCCCTGGTCTTCACCATTCCTCTAGACAAGTTTGTCGCTTTCAGCGTGCTCTATATGGTCTGAAGTAGTCTCCTCGTGCTTGGTATGATCGCTTTCAGATTGTTGTTACTGAGGTTGGATTTCATCCTTGTGCCCAGGACTTTGCTTTATTTCTTCTCCACACCTCTGTTGGATTTGTTGTATTATTACTGTATGTGGATGATATGATCATCATTGATTCTGACTCTTCTGCTATTTCTGAGGTCAAGTAGCATCTTTTCCGCACATTTGAAATGAAGGATCTGGGCCCATTGCGGTATTTTCTTGGTATTGAGGTAATTTCTTCTCCCAAAGTCTACTTTCTATCTCAGGCCAAGTATGCCAATAAGGTTATTCATCGCGCCGGTCTTACTGACACTAAGATTTCTGATACCCCCATGGAGCTTAATGTAAAGCTCAGCACTACTGATAGTGTTCTTCTGGATGATCGTTCTTTATATCGAGAGCTCGTGGGTTGCTTGGTTGCTTAGTCTATCTGACGGTTACTCGTCCTGATCTTGCCTGTGCTGTTCATGTGGTTAGCTAATTTGTCTCTGCTCCTTGCTCTACCCATTGGGCTGCTTTGGTTCGGATTCTTCGCTATCTCCGGGGAACTATATTTCAGGGTTTATTGTTGTCTTTTACTTCCTCTTTGGACTTGGTGGCTTATGCTAATTCTGATTGGGCTGGTGATGTCACTGATCTCAAGTCCACTTCTGGCATCTGCATGTTTCTTGGTGATTCTTTGATCTCTTAAAAGGCCAAGAAACAGACTGTTGTTGCTCATTCCACTGCCGAGGCTGAGTACCGTGCTATGACTCGTGCCACTGCTGAGATTGTTTGGCTTCGTTGTCTTTTAATTGAGTTAGGTGTCCCTCAGTCTTCTTCGACCTCTTTTTACTGTGACAACCGCAGTGTTATTCAGATTGCACATAACACTGTTTTTCATGAGCGAAAGAAGTACATTGAGATTGATTGTCATTTTGTACATCAGCATCTGCAGTCTGGCTCCATCTCGCTTCCTTTCGTCTCTTTGGCATTTTGCTGATTTATTTACGAAGACTCACACCATTGTTCGCTTTCAGTTTCTTTTTGGCAAACTCTTAGTATTTTCTATTAAAACACCTTGAGTATGAGCGGGGGTGTGAGAATATTATGTTAATTATGGAAATGTATTTTAGATCTGATTGTGAATATTAGATTGATTGTTTTTTCTATTTCAAATTAGGGTTAGGATTGCTATATATATTGGTCACTGCTGAGATTGTTTGGCTTCGTTGTCTTTTAATTGAGTTAGGTGTCCCTCAGTCTTCTTCGACCTCTTTTTACTGTGACAACCGCAGTGTTATTCAGATTGCACATAACACTGTTTTTCATGAGCGAAAGAAGTACATTGAGATTGATTGTCATTTTGTACATCAGCATCTGCAGTCTGGCTCCATCTCGCTTCCTTTCGTCTCTTTGGCATTTTGCTGATTTATTTACGAAGACTCACACCACTGTTCGCTTTCAGTTTCTTTTTGGCAAACTCTTAGTATTTTCTATTAAAACACCTTGAGTATGAGCGGGAGTGTGAGAATATTATGTTAATTATGAAAATGTATTTTAGATCTGATTGTGAATATTAGATTGATTGTATTTTCTATTTCAAATTAGGGTTAGGATTGCTATATATATTGGTTGTAATTTTTGTATTAGCACAATTTGAATACGCAAGTTTATTCAGAAACTTACAGAAACATCATGAATGCCATAAAAAGAGACTAATTATGGAAATGTATTTTAGATCTGATTGTGAATATTAGATTGATTGTTTTTTCTATTTCAAATTAGGGTTAGGATTGCTATATATATTGGTTGTAATTTTTGTATTAGCACAATTTGAATACGCAAGTTTATTCAGAAACTTATTAAATTTCTACAAATGCCATAAAAAGAGACATGTTTTTAACTTAATAAAAAAAGGGATACTTCATAGAAAGAGGTTAAACGACAAAAGTTTTGAGTCATGTCTAACTTTACATGAAATCTCCTACCTACTTTTAGTTGTTTTGATGTTGCCCAAGCATGGATGTTGACTTGGCTGTGAAACTAAACTACTTGAGCTTGACTAGTGTTCAGCTTGTTAAAATCTTGTTTGAGACTGACTCATTATGTGCAAGCCAAGCTTGAACATATGTTGAAGCTCATTAATTTTTTTGAGCTCAGGTCAAAGTTGTCCTAAGAAGCTTATATGCACACTAGAACTGTATAGAAAACCAAGCTAATCAAACTCAACTCGTAATCAGCTTGATTGAATCTTGTTTGAGATCGGCTCGAAAGATAAATAAGTCAAGCTTGACTAAATTTTATGCTCATTAAGTTTTCAAGCTTGAACAATCCCCCACTCAACTCGGTGCAACTCGTTTACCACCCTAGATGTTGAATAATTTTTTTTTTTGCAGGTCCAGATGACATGCCAGCACACATCAAATCATCAATGTTTGGCTGCACACTCACGTGCGGATATTTGTTTTTATTAATTGGGACTGCTTTTACATTGAAGTTTCACTACCAAATTGCCATTTATATTTCTTTGAACTTTTGCAGGATTCCAATTACGAATGGCCAGCTTAACATGGGAACTTGGCAGGTGTGTAAAAATGGAGTTTGGAAAAGATGTCTAGAATTTTTGAATGATCAAGTGATAAGCTTCCTTTGTATGGTTTCCATGACTAATTTCAGCAAGTCATCCTGAAAAATCTATATTTCATGGACTTACAATGGATGCTTGAATTTTTAATGAATTAAATTGGTCAAAATGCATCGGTGTATGTATTGTTTTAACTAGGGAAGAGAGGAAAGGATAAATGAAAAGCATATGCAATTTCGGCCAATAACATATGCAGTGGGAAGGGAAGTGGCTCCAATATTTGTTCTTTGGCTAGTGTGAAAGAAGTAAGAACTCTAATGGGAAGTTAAATAGCAATTAAAATGATTTAAACTTCCATGAGGATTTGTCGTCAATAATATGTTCTTCTTGGTGCCAACCTAGTTAGGATTACGAAGTTATATTATGATGTTTTTTGCTCTTAACCAAACCAAACTCTAATGGAATCGGCTACACGAATCCTTTTTTTTCCGGACTCTATTCAAGGCCATTTCGTTAGTCAAATGAAGGAGATTTATATCTCTATTTACTACACTAGTCCACATCAATTTAGGTCTACCCCTTCTCCTAACACTACCATTTACTGTCACTGTATCGCTTCTGTTCACTATTGCCTATGTTGGTTTCCGTTGTATATAACCAAATTATCTCAATCTATTCTCTTTCAGCTTATATTCTATCGGTACTACTCCTACCCATTCTCGAATATACTCATTCGTAACTGTGTCTTTTCTAGTTTTGCCACACATCCACCTTAGCATTCCTATCTGAGCAACACTCATCTTATTTACTTGTTGTTTCTTAGTTGCTCAACATTCCGTCCTATACAATATCGCTGGTCTAATAGCCGTTTTATAGAACTTCCTTTTTAGTCTAGTGGGTATTCGTTTATCGTACAGTACTCCAGACACACTCCTCCACTTAAGCCGCCCCGCCTTAATTCTATGGACCATATCCGCTCCAATCGCTCCAGTTGTTGTGATGATCGATCATAAATAACAAAAATGTTCACTCTTGGATAGTTCTTGATTCTCAATCTTCACTTCTCCTCTGCTTCTATTGTAATTGTTACTAAAATTACACTCCATATGCTTTTTGCTCTTGCTCCCTCTTTATTGATGCATCTTCATATGTAATGTGTGTTGTTTTCATCAATAAAGTTCCTTTTTGCTAATCAAAAAAAAAAAAAAAAAACACAATTGCGATATTCAAGTTTTGCAAGTGTCATGCGCTGCCAAGTCCACAAAGTCTTCAGGGATAGACACCAATGATTGAAGTGGTACTACTTTGACCTCTTAATCATTTTTTTGTGTCACTGTTTTGAAAAAAAGGCCAACTTATGGAACCTCCCAACCATGTGCAAAGTTCTTGCACTAGACCCATGTTGAAGAAGCGTAAATGTTCTATCTATTTGCCTTAACACCACATTTAGGCACTTCTTAGTCGTTATTATTAATATCAACATGATACTGTTCCATGGGTATATTTAATGGGTAGGGCCTGCTATGCATTGCGTGTTGATTGTTGTTATGCCATGTTTTCCTGTCACTTTTTGTTCCAAGCTCCTTTGGAGATAGCTGCATCTTGTGAACTCTTTTGAAGATATGTTTTCTCACTGACTGTTTTATTTATATTTAATATATTTCTTCATTGAAAGCTAATAAGGTCATACACAGCTACAACTATTTATGGTGGTTTAGTACCAATGTCGTAATCCCAAGGCATCTTCTGTTTGAACTTGGGATTGGTGCCTCGCAGACCTTGAGACCTTGATAACTATACAAGTTCAGCAGTGTCAAGTAATATTTATATGGCCAGTGGTTTTCCATTACTTGTATACTGTAACATGGACTTGAGATTGTTAATGCTGGTTTTATGTTTTGCGATTGTTTTTGCATTTGGGAAATAACTAGTCTGATCTTTATGATTTTGAATAGGAGGATTCATATTTCTCTCTCTCTTTGTTACAGGGCATATGGCTGTGCGAGCACCGAGACGAAGCTACTCCACGCAAAGTTGTGGTCACTCTTAATGGAATTTAAGGTGCTAAAGTTGAGGGATTTGACTTTTAAATCTGAAGTCTTATATTTTTGTAAAACATAAAAATTCTATTTAGGTGGTTTATGATTAACAAATAATGTTAATGGACACTTGTTTTGTTTGTGATTCTTCCATTCTCTCCGTGACCAGTTGAGAGGGAAGTAAGAGTTCCGTGAGAGTAGATATATGGGAAATATGTTAAGGTAGAAGTAATATGTTGTTTTATAAGTAACAATTTCAAATTACACTCTGGCTCATGATAGTGTCACTAATCACATTTTCACAACTGGCTCCTAGTTCATGCTTTCATAATTTTTTTTTCATGTAAATTTATTTTTGGAAATTTTCTAAAAAGTTGTTTATTTTATATTATTTTTTAAAAATGATTACTCAAATAAGTTTTATATTAAAAAAAAAATGAAAAGGATGTTAGCTTGCAAACAGAGAGCCTGACCTCCTTTGGCAACATCATATTTTAATTTAAAATTTAAAAAGTTATTAAAAAATTAAAAAATCTAACAAATTATACAAAAAAAAAAGTCAAATATTGTCTTTCTCTTTATTTTTTTTGTGTACTTTTTTTTTCTTTTCTTTTTTTATAAAAAATTAAAAAATCTTTTCGAACATATTAATTTTTTTTACTTTATATTTTAGGTAAAAACTTTAAAAATTATTAAAATAGTTTATTTCTAAACAAGTTTCTCCAACAGTTTTTTTTTTTTTCTCCTTCTAATGGGCACGAATCAAGTTAGTCAGGAGGCCAAAATTTTAAAATTAAGGCAGTGTTTGATAGAGTTTAAAAGGAAAAGAAAAAAAAAATGAAAATAGAGTTGTATTTTGAGTTTGAGTTTTGGAATTATGATTTGAAAAAAGAAAATTTGTTTAGTTATGAATTTTGAATTGAATTTTAAATTTTTAATGTGACATATGAAATGAAAAATGTTGTTTGGTTATGAGTTTTAGAAAAAAAATTCAAAACTTAATTGAAAAACTTATAACTTATAACCCAATACATAACTCAAAACTCTATTAATAATTCTATTTAAAACTCATAACTAAACTCTTTTTAAAATTTAATTCAAAAAAATAATTTATATATTTAAAAAATATTAAAAACAAATATAATTATTTTTTCCAAATAATAGATAGCGATTTACAATTGCAAAAAACTATATATATACATATATATTTTACTGTTCCGGTCGATCTGCCGACTATCAGTGGCGGGCGACCGAGTAGACCAAAAATTCAAAAATTGTCTGCTCGGAAGAAGCTTTGCCAAACATGAAAGAAAAGTGTGTTTTAAAATGTGTAATGGAATTAATTTTTAAATACGTCACCCAAATAGAGGTTTCACGTAAGAGAAAAGAGTGAGACTCCCACCATCCAGTGAATGCTGATTGATCTAATTTTTTATTCTATTTTATTTTATTATCCTCTTCTTCTTGCTCTCCACGTATATATGGGGATGGTGAGGGTCACCAAAGTGGGGTCTGAATCATCTCTGTTTTACGTACATGGGTGAAATTATAAATTGAGCACGGTACTAAGCACAACCTAAATTTTTCTCAACATGCTTAGGCAAGTCAATAGATTAGGCTTGTTGGCAGCCAAACGGGTCAAGATTTTTCGTTTATTTTTTGTAATTTCTAATAGGTTGTGGACCAACCTGACATCCGCCCAAACAAACCTCCTCTCACAAGCTGGCTAATGGACTTGGTCAAGCTTCAAGCCCTAAGTTCAGGTGAAGGCCCATTTAAGCCAACCCAATTTGTTTAAAGTATGATCTTAAATCAAGTAAAAGTTCACTTTTTTTTATCAAATGATCATACCATCGCCTATGCTCTGTTAATTTTGTCAAAGTTAGAGGTGTATTGTGATGTTATTTTATTATATTATTTATTTTCTATGCAAGGTATTATAAGTCAATTTAAACCATCAAACTTGGGATTGTTTGCGTGTCCTAAATAAGTATACTTTTTGATTTTTTAGATTAAAAAATTGAGGAAAAAAATATGATTATTTGAGATAACTTTTTGTCTTTTTATGAAAAATATGTATTAAAATGACAAAATCACATTTTTACCCTTACATGGCAGAATCATCAGTGACAAGCGGCAGAGGGAAGTACGGCTGGGTTGAAATGGTGCATGAGACTTTACGGGTACTATTCGACTGTGGGGCCCACCAAAGGTCCTGTTTCGATAATCCAAACCGTTGAATAAGTAGAACTCGTTGAGTACAATATGCCTATGAAAAATCAATGTAATCGGATATTGATAGTTATGTGATCAAAACAGTTTTGTATGAAATTAATGGATGGTGAAAAATAAACGGCTGAAAAAAATCTGATTAGATCACATAGCTATCCATATTCGATAAATGTGATTTTTTACAGGGTCGATGAGTTCTACACATTGAACGGTTTAAATTATCAAAAACGAACCGGTGGTAGGCCCTCACGGGCCCAACGTTACCCTCAAACTTAATAAATGTATACATCTAATTTATTTTTTTTTGATTCATTTGAACAGGCCATTAAGTACTGAACCATCAATCAGTACCAATGCTGTCACTCTTTGTTTGTATTAAAATATTATAGAAATTAATTTTTTTATATTTTTAATTTGTGAATAGTGATAACTTTTTAATTTTTTTTAATAACTTTTTAGTTTTTTGAATTTTTCTTGATACGCCAAATCAGGTCTAAATTTTAAACGAATAAACATATTTTTTGAAATAAAATTTTAAATCATACCATCGGTGATTTGAAAAATTTTCAATAGCTAAAAAAGTGGAACTAAAATTTTAAGGAGAGCAGACCTTGAGATCCCGAGCCTCGTTCACTGGCCAAGCTCTTGGGTTAGTGGATTGGGATTTTGGGGGAAACATCTAGGCACATATGTTGTCGCCTAGCTTGCTTTATAAAACTATAAATTATATACATAGAAATGATACACACCAAATATAAGAGCTGACGCGCTTGGGTTTGAAGCCACTCATCAGTCTCATCCTGTTAATCCTACTCTATTATTATTATTATTATTATTTATTTTATTTTTTGGCCTTTTAAAAGAAAAAATGAAAATAATAAGAAAAGTTTGGTTCTTTCGTTCTTCCTAGACCATATTTGGACGATATACAAGGATCGGTGCTACAAACAAATGCATAAATAAATTAATAAAGGAAGAAAAAGCAAAATACGGGAGAAATAATGATAATAATAATAATAAAAAGAAGATTCCTTGTTTGGGAATTGAGAGTACTAGATGATAGGAAGAAGAGTTGAGTTTGAAGTTTTCTCAAAGGGTAGAAAGAAGCAGCAGCAGCAGCGGCTGCGAGTAATCTAATAATCTTTCTATCTGTTGTTTGTATTTTGTTTACGGACGCGGACGCGGACGCGGACGCGGACGCAGACGCAGACGGAGCAGAGTATATATTATTATTGATCACTCCCGGAGTGTTTGAGCGTGCGATTGCCATTGCAATGATGGCGGCGTCGGCGTGTCTAACAGGAAGCGTACCTCGAGTGTGTTGTTATACTAGTTGTAATAATACAGGAGGAGGAGGAGGAGGAGGAGGAGGAAGCGGCGTAGTAGGAGTTAGTAGAGGAGACCACCAAGGTTATTATTCAAGAAGTCGATCAAATCTCATAATTCCGCCGCCTCGCCCTTCTCCCAGTTGCCCTCCTCCCCCTTTCACCCGATTCGCTACCACCAGGGCCAGGGCCAGGGCCAGGGCCTGCGCCAGGACCAGGCCACTTCCTTCATCCCTACCTTCTCCACCGAGGTAATTAACTCTTCCTCCTTTCCTACTACTACTCTCTACCAGCACTACAACTAGGGTTTCTTTGTGCTTTATTTATTTGTTCTTTCTATATCATTTTCTTCTTTTTTGGGAATTAGTTGTAAAATTCTGTCATCTTCCATCCTATTTATCGGTATCTATTTGTTTGACAAGTCGTGACTAGTTTGATTTACCCTAGTTGTAGATGAGTTTTTGGGTAAATTACATTTCTCCCTTTATGTTTGATCACTTTCTCACTTTGACCTTTAAAATCTATTTGTTTATTTGTTTTTTTCTAGTGTTTGATCTTTGGGGACTCATCACAAACGAGAATTCAACTCTGCAACCTCACCTATATATATATATATATATATTTGTTTTTTTGGTTCTCTCCTTTTTTCCTTTCTTGCCCCAATCTTTGGGATCCACCTTGCCCCCCCTCTTCCCTTTGTCTTATAGGTTTATTTCTCGTATTTTGTTCATTTAACAATTCATGTGTTTTCCTTTCTAAGGAATTATAGCCAAACTCCCCCCCTATAACCCCTTTCAGCAATCTACTTTTATGCTCTATTTGGTTCATTGGAATGTGATGGAATGGAATGGTGATTTGGCTTTCTTATGGAATGATCATTCTGCATTTGTCATTATATTTTTAGTCTAACCAAACATCCGCTTCATTCCCTTTAAAGCATATCATTTGATAATGTCCTACTCAGAAACATAACCAAGCAGCTCCCTCACATTATAATAAATTACCTGCAGGTGCACAACCTATTTGTGTGCAAACGTATGTCGCTCAGGAATGAAGAAGATGAATAGTTTAAATTTTAAAGATCTGCATCAGTTTTTTTCAATCTTTATCTCTTGCATTTATGATATCAAATGCATCCATGGTTGATATTTTATTGGTCTGAATTTATTAAAAAAAATAAAATAAAATAAAAATAAAGTTCTGTATTGTTTTGGTTGGAAGGTGGTCAGGAATTGATGGATCGGCATCTTGTAGGAACAAGTGCAATACCTGGAAAGGGTATACTTCAAAGTTTGATCAACTGTCAACTCAAGAAACTTTGTCAGAGCAGCATAAATGCTTCTCTTGCATATGTTATCGCCCCAAAAGACAGACTACTGGTGGTATCAACAGATTTACATCAAGAGTCTTTCCAGACAAGTCTTCCTTTCATTTGTCCCGGCATACACTTGACGATGTCTTTGTAAGTTAATAACTCCAACTTCCTTCCATTGTGCGTACATAGAGTGCCACCTGTATCTCTTACCCCTCCCAGCAACCTTGACTTAGGGGACCAACACTGGGTAAATGTCCTTTTTGTTCTTATGTCTATCCCCTGTCACCTAGAGGAAGCTCATCTTAATTGCATTTCAATACAATTTTCTTCATGCACTATAGTGAATTGACATTACAAAGCTTGGTTATGGTTAAACTCCTGTCCCTGTTGTTGCTGTTATGTTTTTGAAATGCTATGTGTAATCTTGACTCCTTCATGATACAAATTGAGCAGTGTTGTAATAATAGGCAGCATACAATTGCAACCTTCATGCCACCTTTCATGTTTCTGGCACCCTTATTTGTGGAGCAGTTTTAACATTTTTTCCATGTGGTTAACTTAGCAGCACTTGCTTTCCATTTGACAGCGCCACCATTGTTTAAGATACACCGGAACTGTGCTTCTTTGAGCAGCCATTTGTGGTATAAAATTCTGTCAATTAATGATGTTGATTGAGACAAATACACAGCTGATTAATGCACATTGCTACTTTGTTATTATTATTATTGTTGGGCCAACATTGGGTGTGATAAGTTGGTTTGTTTGTCAAAGCACAGCATCTTTAGGTGAGGCACTATGAAGCATGGACACCTTGCTAGAGGCAACGTGCAGGTCGGACATGCGGTGGACACGTGTCAGACACTCTACCAGGCGTCTCCCTTGTTTTTTTTTTAAAATTTTTCCAGCCGGACTTGTTTTCGACACGCCAAGACACGTTTGGACACTTTGTAACAAGATAAAGCTTGAAAAATAGAGAGGTGGATCGAAACCCTAACCCATTGGAGAGAGAGAGAGAACGCCCTAACCTGTTCTTCATTCTTCGTTTTGTTCTTCGATTCGTTTCTTCATTCTTCCTCGTCTGTCGCCTTCTTTTTCTTCCTCATCTATCTCTTCGTTTTTCCTCTCTCTCTCTCTTCTTTGTTTTCAGTTCTTTACGAGTGGAAACAAATATTGATTTGTTTTAATATATATAAAATAGGTTTGTGGGCCCACTAAAGATCAGCATCCCACGAAGCCACCACCAGCCCACTAACCTCACTAATGCATTCACCTTCACACATCTTCCATTATAATATTATCCCACTAACCTCACTAATGCATTCACCTTCACACATCTTCCATTATAATATTATATATACATAATATTTTAATATTAAAATACTCCACACCAACAAAAATCTTTTAGTACTGTATTTATTAATTTTATTATTATTATAATTTTATAAGAATCAATATTTGATTATTAAATATGGCATCGACTTGTATATTTTTTTGTATGTTTAATTACCTTCTAATGATTCTTTATTTTTATTTTAGACATATAATAAATAAATAAATAAAATTATATATATTGAGAGTGTCCCCAGCGTGTCGTGTTTCCTATTTTTTGAAAATTTACGTGTCTGCGTGTCCGTGTTGTGTCCTGTGTCTGTGCATCATAGGTGAGGCAACCTATATGGAGTCATTGGCCATACTGAGTAGCACCAATGAATAAACCTATTTATGTATTTTAAAACAGCAGAAGAGGTATAACCTTGATGCCCAACTGGAGCTGAGACTCTATTTCCCTTCCTTCCCCTGCAAAGTCTTCTTGCATACTACTGTATGTACATACATGTGAATAGTTGTGCAACTGGGGTGAATGTGTTACCTGGAAAACTCTCACAGAACCAGTTGTTTTCATCTTATCTAAGATCTCTCTCTCTCTCTCTCTATATATATATATATAGGGCTGATGTTTGAAAGGCTGATGTAATATGATTTGTGTTGGATGAGCAGTTACATTGAAATTTTGGTTGAATTACTGGAAAAACTTTTCTCTGTCTGTATATATGTGTGTATCAATGTTGCATTTTTGCATGCATGAGGTAGTTTGTGGAAGAATGCTAGAAATAGTGTATTTAATTGTGAAATCAGATATGCTTTCATCACGTCTAGAAGGCCTTTGTTACATTATATTGGAAATTTATTCTTCAGCATTTTTGTGGAAATTCTCATATAGCTCTGGCTAGCATGCAATTTTGATGGCTTTCACAACATAAACTAAAATGAATTTGCATTTTCCTTTTCACTTGTTTGCAAGACAATTTTTCTGGCTGATTGTGGCCTCTGTATGTGTTTAGGTAAAGCAAGTTCATGTTCCACAGGCAGCTATTGGACCAGATGAGCCACATGCAGCAAGTACAACCAGGCCAGGTGGTATTTTAGAGAAACAAAGTTTGGATTCATTGGATCTTGAATTAGAAAGAACAGAACTAGAGAGGTTTCTAAGCTCCGAACTTCCTTCTCATCCGAAGTTATATAGAGGACAGTTAAGGAATGGACTTCGCTATCTTATTTTACCGAATAAGGTTCCACCAAACAGGTAACCCATATCAGAAGAACTGCAATTAGCTGATGGTTATTTTATAAATTAGTCATACTCATTTTTATATGCTACAAGCTATCAATTATAATGATGTGTGGAGATAAGGCAGAATCTCAATTTTCAAAAATGGAAAAGAAAAAAAAATAGAAAGCGGAAATTATGAATTCCCTAGGCCCTCATCGTTTGGTTGCATCATCTCAATTTACCAAGCCTATTTAAATTCATAACTAACTCTTATGAAAATTCCCCCTAAGCTTTTTTATCCTTTTTGCTACTGAATTGGAGTTAGTGAAAAAGAGATATAAAGTACGTAGGCACACTGCTATCCCAAATGGCTAAAGGAATCCTCAAATAAGTAATTTGAAGGGAACCCTCTTTAAATCCTAACAATGCAGCTAGCCCCGACATATGAGAGTACAACAAAGATATACAAGCCATTATTATTATTTACCCTATTCCCTTATGGGAAATGAAGAATGCTAGTAAAGATAGATTAATGGAATTCTCTCTTGGGGCAAAAAGGCTAGGGCTAACTTGCAACATAAAACCAAAAACTAAGATCTGAAGAAGAAGAAAATAAAATAGAAGACACCAAAAAGTGTCATACAAACAGTTATGTTGAGTTGGCAAAGCAAATAATTCCCTACATAATGGTCTAATGGGAAAGCAGTCCTCTGAGCTAGAAATTTTTTTATTCCTTTTAGTTAAATGATCTAGGGCTTCAACAAACAGCTGTAATCAATGCTTTGGTTGATTGATTACATCTTATATTAATGTGATGTCCTTTAAGGAATTTTTTTGTCTTTTAGGCCTCATTTGGCAACTATATGTTCTCGCCAAAAAGCCAAAAAGTCATTATAAGTTGTCACATCACTCTCTCTACTTTTCTGCACATCTTTTCGTAAAAAGCCAAAAAGGTACTAAAGTAGTTTGTTCCCAAACGAGGCCTTAATACTGGTCAGATTTAATTACAGTTCTCTCCTGGACTAGGATACTTAATTTTTGTTGTTTTCCACTTTGTCTCCCATGAATTGACGTGGAAGGGTTACCAGGGATCATTTTGCATCAAGTAGTGACATTTGTTGCATCAGAGACTCATTGTAATCATAAGAAGGAAAATGGCTCCGTTATTGTACTTTTTTGTGTCTGCATCAGAGAATCTCACTCTCTCCATTATTGTACTTTTTTTTTTCCTTCCCTTCTCCAATTTTAGGTTTGAAGCACACATGGAGCTTCATGTGGGATCTATTGATGAAGAAGATGATGAGCAAGGCATTGCACATATGATTGAACATGTTGCTTTCCTTGGAAGTAAGAAGCGTGAGAAACTTCTTGGGACAGGAGCCCGTTCAAATGCTTACACGGATTTTCATCATACTGTGTTTCACATCCATTCACCAACTTGTACAAAGGTTTCTGGTATTTTCATTTGTGGTCCAATTTTTATAGTCACTGAACAGTTGATGTATGTATATCTTGAATCCATGATCCAGTTGAATGCACCTGTCTTGTCATCTTTTTTGTATGTTATTCTGTCTAGATTCTGTGTCTGTGTGCGCGCGCCAAAGTTTTTAAAGGCGAATGCGTACTTTAAGGCGTTTCACCTCTCATGAGGCGAGGCGTAAGCCTCAAGGCGTTGAGGCATAAGCATTTCAAATTTCAAATTTTAATATTTACTGAATAAACTAAATATTTTTAAATAGTTAAAAAAATAATAACAAAATTAAATATAAATATGTAAATACTTTTCGCTTTAATGCGTTGAACATTTTACTGCATAGAAGGAAGTTTTCCTTTACTGAAAGAGAAATCGATATTCTTAACTTCAGTAATTGAGTTTCTCACTTGACCATTAACTGTGTTTTTCTTGATTGATCATTTACTTAATTTTTCCTGTAGAATATAGTTGTAAAAATGGATTCTTTTTAATTTTTTATGTTTAAACAATCTAATAGACTAAGTTTAACAATTGCCCAGGGCAACTTCTGCGTGTGCATACTCCTCACATGCTTATGCGCAAAAAGCGTAAAAAGCGCGCTTAAGGCGCATGTCTCAAACTATGATGCGCAAGCCTTGGGGGAGTAATGTCTAAAAATCAAAGCCTTAATGCGTTTTACCTTAGCCTCCAGGCGAGGCGAGCATCGAGGCGAGCCTCAAGAAAGCCTTTTAAAACTCTGGCGCGCGCCCTTGCATACTTCCATTGCTTTCTATATGAGCTAAAATCACAGACGGAATGAAAATGAAAACAAGCTTCTTCTACCCCTGCTTCTGCTTGAGCAATAGCTATATAGGACATAATAGTGGCAACATTTTTGGACAGAGGGTGTGTACTCTAGCAAATTATTGGATTCCTATATGATACTAATTCTATCCTTATTGCATGGGTAGGACTCGGACGGGGATCTACTTCCATCTGTTCTTGATGCTTTGAATGAGGTACTTGTTGCCAAACTTTCTTCAAAAATTTAAGCCATGCTGATAAAGATATTTAGGAACTACTATAATGGGCCTATTTGGTGCAACTTTTCTTTTGTTGAAAGTTGATAATCAGAAAACAAAAGCTAAAAGCACTCCTTTCCCAACCTATAGATAATCAACTTTTTCTAATATTATTTAAACTATTTTTGCCTCATAAGCTATAAGCAAAAGCTGCACGCACCAAGTAGACTGGCACAAAATCCCAAAATAAAAAAGCTACTATCAACTTTATAAGTTGCACCAAACAGCACCAATAAGCTTCATCTCCCTCCAATCACTGTTTTTTCTAGAGTGCTGATTTCCTGCCTGATGTGATTTTATAGAATATATGTACTGTATTATGGTTACATCTAAGATGCCATCTCTTTCATGCATACAGATAGCTTTTTACCCAAAATTCCTTGCTTCTCGAGTTGAGAAAGAGAGAAGAGCGATATTATCAGAACTACAAATGATGAATTCAATAGAGTACCGTGTCGATTGCCAGGTATTACAATTAGGATATTTGGCTAGTCTTTACTTCCATTTTTTGTGTATTATTGAGCAATATTAACACCCATTTTTTTTGTGTGTACATAGTTGTTGCAACATCTGCATTCTGAAAACAAGCTGAGTAAGAGATTCCCAATTGGGTTGGAAGAGCAAATCAAGAAGTGGGATGTAGACAAAATCAGGAAATTCCATGAGCGTTGGTACTTTCCAGCAAACGCTACCTTATATATTGTGGGTGACATTGATAACATTTCAAAGACAGTTTACCATATTGAAGTACGTGTGCATCTGCTTATCTTTATATTTTATGCATTAAATTGCATGTCAATCAGGAATGTGGATCGTGATTTCATAGTCAACGTTTGAGTTTTAGTTAGTTTTTGTATTTAATTATATATTCACTTTGTGAGTATCATTCAGTCTGTTTTTGAGCGAACTGGCGTGGAAAATGAGACGGCAGCAGCACCTACTACACCTAGTGCATTTGGTGCAATGGCTAGTTTCCTTGTTCCTAAGCTTGCAGTAGGGCTGGCTGGAAATATATCTCATGACAGGCCAGCTGTTTCTATCGAACAGCCAAAAAATTTTAAAAAGGAAAGGCATGCAGTTCGTCCTCCTGTTAAGCATAATTGGTCAATCCCTGGAAACAATGAGCATGCAAAGCCTCCACAGATATTTCAGCATGAGTTGCTCCAAAATTTCTCCATTAATATGTTTTGCAAGGTATGAAATGAATGAAATATTTTTTTGTTAAGTTGTAATTCTTGGACCTAGTCTTAAGATTATGATATTTGTGTCAACTTGCTTTTCACAAAAATATTTGGTTGGTGATATTTTTCATATATTTACATTAAATATATCTTTCATATATTTGCTCAAAAGCATTGTTTTTGCTCATTTTGTGTCATATTATGAATAACATGCTCAATTGATAATGTGAAGGGTAAAGTCAAAGTGATCATGGATAAGGATCAAGCATAAAGATCTAAGTAAAGAGAAAACTAAAAACATTGCAATAGTCTTATTCAAAGAATAGAGTAAAATGAAATAACTCTCCCCCCAGATTTTTGATTCATTTGCACCTCATTTGTTCTTGTTAGGTGAATACAGTTATATTGAAATCTTCCATATATATACAAAATTGGAAACTTTTATATGAACTCCATGCAGATGGAGGAAAAATGAAATACTGAATTTCCTGTTTTCTTTTTGAAGATGGAGTAATAAAATACTTATTTTATTATTTATTAGGAAGGGGCTTTCTTAGTGGATTGATCCATCATTATTACCTTGTTAAGAGAGTTTTTGCAAAGGAGAAGGAAAAAAAACTTGTCCTTTGACAGGCTGGTGATTCCCCCAATGAATGTGAGGGCATTCACAATGGAGAGAGAAAAGTATTAGGTCCTGATACTGAAATTTCATTCCATATTTGCAACAGTAACCACAAATAATGTCTGCATGCAATTTTGCTGCTTTATATTTTTACATACAGTGTAAATTCCTACTTGGTTATGAATTGCACTGATAACCTTAACTTGATTTTCATAGTTATCTTTTTGAAATAATTCTATTGTCTCAATTCAAACTGTTGGCTTGTTTGTAAGTTGGACCTGTCTTTTATGGCCATGGTTTTCGGTTGCAGTCGCAGTTGTGATCTCAGTGTAGCTGTGTGAGATTGGATCAGATTGCTATCAGGATTTGTTGATACACTTTTATGCCCATGGTCTCTGCTATTTTTTATTTTTGTCTTATATATTCCTTGTGATCTTTTTGCCAGATACCTGTTAGTAAGGTCCGAACATATGGTGACTTGTGCAATGTTCTGATGAAGAGAATATTTCTTTCTGCTCTGCATTTTCGAATAAATACCAGATACAAGGTGGATCCCTTTTTTGTTTTTGTAAATCTGTTATTCCTTTTCATGAATAAGTTAATTACCAGTTGATATATTATAATCATTAGAATTGAGGCTGTGAAGTGAAGTCTCACATCGCCTGAGTACTAAAGTAATATTAAACATATAGCGAAGTCCCACATCGCCTGAGTACTAAAGCAATATTAAGCATGTAAGTGTGAGGGCACTCTCACCTTAACAACTAGTTTTGGGGTGAGTTCTACCCAAGACCGTGTAACAGAGACATGTCTAGATTGTGATGTAATTGTACTCAAGGGAAACTGATCAATAAGTATATATATCATTGTTGCAAGTTGTGGGTACTATAATTCATTTGTACATAGACTGGAAATTGTTGATTTCATGGTGTATCTTTGCTTGTGGTTTGATTGGGTTTTTTTTTCATCTTCTTTCAATTGTCAATGTATTTTTTATTTTGCTTTTTATTAATTTATTATTATAATTAAGTTATATTATTAATTTATTTTGTTTTTCCTTTTTGTAAGTCAGGCACACTGTAATGGCTAGTGTTTAAAAATTTAACACTAGGATACATTGACAACAGACTGTAAGAAATGGTTCAGCAAGCATGTAGAAGGTGGAGCTCTACCTAAGGCTGTTAAAACCATTTCTTTCTGTATGCATCAACTATAGCTGTTCTCATAGAGCTCTCCGGCACTTTGTGAAGCCAAGCCTATGATTTAAATGAGATAAACATTAAAAGAACTGAAATTTTAGGAGGCGAATTACAAAAAATAGGGAATGTTCACTTGACTTGCTTTTCTAAATATTAATGTACTTTGAATTAATAATTTTATGTATATATATATGGGCATCCATGCTATATTCTTTGTTTTGTCATTGTGTTTATTAGATTCTGCTCAAATTTGCAATCTTTATTTTTAATAATTTAAAGATTATTTTTTCCAGAGTTCAAATCCTCCATTCACCTCAATTGAATTGGATCATAGTGATTCTGGAAGGGAAGGCTGCACTGTAACTACTCTTACAGTAAATGCTGAACCAAATAATTGGCAAAGTGCAATCAAAGTTGCTGTTCAGGAGGTTTCGATTTTCTATTTGTCTTTATTTTGCTATAAATGTCAGTTTCTTCAATTGAAATTAGCATTTTGTCAAAACATGATAACTATATATTGTTTCTTTAAGTTGAAGGCTCATGGAGATGTTATTTTAAGTTATATCACAGCAACCAAAGTACAACAGTGATGATATATCTTATGTGTTTATTCCAGTTCTAGTATTTAAGATTTTTTGATCAGTGCAGGTTCGAAGGCTTAAAGAGTTTGGAGTCACAAAAGGTGAATTAGCTCGTTATATGGATGCACTATTAAAAGATAGTGAGCAGTTGGCAGCGATGATTGATAATGTATCGTCAGTGGATAATTTGGATTTCATCATGGAGAGTGATGCCCTTGGTCATACAGTGATGGATCAAAGACAAGGACATGAGAGCTTGGTTGCTGTTGCTGGAACAGTTACACTTGAAGAAGTAATTTCTGTTCTTGAATTATTCCACCCTTGAGAATAGCCGGAAGTTGTTATTAAATGTATGGTGTAGATTTGAACTGTTTGCAGTCTCGGCCACCTTCAAAGTAATTCTGGTCCACACATTTCATTTTTGGGGTACTTTGTTTTGGGTGCCTAATATTGTTGTTTTTATATTGGGCCAACAGAGATAGAACTTCGTTTTTTTTTTTGTTTTTTTTTTAAAATTTTTTTACCGGCAACAATGAAAAGAGACTATTATTAATGAAAAGAAATATTGCAAGAAACCGTAGGGCAAGAAGTCCTCCAAAGAAGAAGAAAAACAAGAACAACAATCAAAACAAAAGTTACAAAAGAAACAATGCCTCAATCTACACATCACATACTGCTCTCCAATCTCTAAAGATCAATAACAAAGGAATCCCTCGAAAAGAAAGCACATGGAGGCCCAAAAAGATGACAAAAAATAAACTCTATCCCATAAAGAATCAACGTCCTCCATCTTATCCTCGAAAATTCTTGTGTTTCGCTCCAACCTGAAAACCTAAAAATTGCTAAAAAACAGAGCACCACTACCCTTTTGCCTCCTTATTGCAACCAAAACCCAAAAATCTGTCAAGAGCACGTGAAAACAAGTATCCAGGGTCATCTAACAACCCTCCACCAACATGATCATCTATTCCATAAGGTGAAAGCCAAAGTGCAATGCAAGAACAAATGATTCAAAGATTCTTCCCCCTCTTGCACGTGCACATTGAGGATGGAGAATACAATTGGGTCTCCTAGTTTGGAACACATCATTAGTCATGATGCTATTGACCAACTGTGACCAGACCCAGATGCACAGTTTCATGCTAATTGTTATTTTATATGTATGTAATCCGACTTTAACAACAAAATTGTGTTGTCAATTTGACTAGAATAGTATATTTCATCTGAAGATTGTAAAATTGGGGCATTGCATTCTTCAAATTATACTGTTTTGATTGACATTGACATTTAAACGTTTTCTTAAATACCCCCATTGTGTAGCTATGTTTAGACGTGTACATGCTAGCACTTTCATGTTGGAACATGCACTGTCACTGCCAATGACCCTAATAAGACATGATGTTGGAGTTTTAATCATCTTGAGGTTGTCATGCTATAAATGTTCTGTGTTGGACTCTGATGACTGCACTAGTGTTATCGTTACTTAGTTTATATAATTAGATGCTGTTCTAGTGAATTTACTTAGGAAATGCATTATACAGATCCAGAGAGCTCACATTTGGATTTACCTAGTAGGTCAATAACATATTCCTTGAGTTCATATCCTTTGTGAGATAATGTAGAAGATTTAATAGTTCGAAATGTGAGAACTCATAACATTTTCCATCATGAGGGATGTATTGTCAAGCCATTGTAGCTTTGTGTAGGTCTGTTGTATTGGTTATGGACTTCCTTTTCTACTTCTTTGGTTATTAAAATAAAGTGATAAAAATTAGTTGTATTCAGTGTCTTAGCTTGTTAATTTATGTTGATCTTGTACTTTTTCAGTGTCTTAGCTTGTCGCTTTCAGCTGATCTTATGATTGTACTAAGAAAATCTTTGAATTAAAAATAAATTGTTTAATGAATATCTGGTATTACAGGTTAATTCTATTGGTGCCAAGGTGTTAGAATTCGTCTCCGATTTTGGAAAACCATCTGCACCCGTTCCTGCAGCAATTGTTGCATGTGTTCCCAAGAAAGTTCATGTTGATGGAATAGGTGAAACTGAGTTTGGGATAACGCCTAGTGAAATCACTACTGCCCTAAGAGCCGGGTTGGAGGAACCGATAGAGCCTGAGCCTGAGGTGTCCTTTGATAACAACTTTGCTTGCTTGCACTTTAAACTTCCTCAGATTCTGTTGCTGACTTTCTTTGTTTATGTTTGCAGCTTGAGGTGCCAAAAGAATTAATATCTTCATCACAGCTGCAGGAATTACGGTTCCAGCGTTTGCCATCTTTTATTTCTGTAAGCCCAGAAGCAAATGTCACTAAAATTTATGACAGGGAAACAGGGATCACTCAGCGGCGTCTTTCAAATGGAATTCCTGTAAATTACAAGGTATATGTAAATCATGTTTGTAGTATTCAGTTGCCACTTGCTAGCAAGAAATAATGGTGAAATTAAATTTATTTTCTTGTTATTCTGAGGTGTTTAATTACAGTTGAACATTCATACTTGCAGAGGTATTTATGAGAACAGTACCCTTGGTTTCAGAACTAATTTTTGTCTCTGCTAGTTTTCTCGCTATCATAACATTATATTGATGTTTAGGTCTCAAGAAATGAGGCCAGGGGAGGTGTAATGCGACTTATAGTTGGTGGTGGCCGAGCAGCTGAAATGTCTAATTCAAGGGGTGCTGTTGTTTTGGGTGTTCGAACTCTAAGTGAGGGCGGTCGTGTTGGTAACTTTTCAAGGGAGCAGGTACACAAATTAACGTTGTTCCCTTATTTTATATTTCTTTGCACCCAAATACAATTTTCTTTGACATACAAGTGACATTATAGCTGGAGGTATGCTTGTGGTTTAGACTTCCTTGAGAGACTGTTTAATTCTGCTGCAGTTTATCATGCACTACAGTAATTGTTGCTTGAATTCCCATATATTGGTGCTAACTTTGCTACCCACCAATGCTAGTGTTACATGCATTGGTTCACATATGCTAGTTTTCCTATATCCTATTCGGGATGTTGAATTCCTCTTTAAAACTTAATATGCTTCTTCAGGTCGAGCTTTTTTGTGTGAATCACCTCATAAATTGCTCGTTGGAATCTACTGAAGAATTTATTTGTATGGAGTTCCGTTTTACTTTAAGAGACAATGGGATGCGTGCAGCCTTCCAGTTACTTCATATGGTACTTGAGGTAACCTCAACCTCAACCTGATTATGTTGGTAAACGGATATGCTGTGAGTGCAACCTTGGGTGGTTTTGTTTGTTTAGTTTATTTGAGGTTTTCTTTCCTTCTATACAAAGTTTATGTTACATATATTCAATAGGATGTTCACAGAAGTTATTGATCAGATAATCACATCATAACAAAAGGTTTGGATGGGACTTTTTTGTTACTTCTATGAAGCATAGACACGTGACACGGCATGGACACGCAGACATGTAAATTTTCAAAAAATAGGGGTCACGACATGTTGGGTACACGTTCTATATATATAATTAAATTTATTTATTATACGTCATAAAATTATAAAAATACAAAATAACACTATTAAAATTATAAAAAAAACAAACAAAAAATTATTTCTTTGATTTACCATCATATATATCATTCACAAATAACATAAAAATTGCATTCCATCAATATTCCATCAATATATTCCATCAATATATTACCATCATTTGTTACAAAATGCATGAAAATCAAACCACAAAATGTAAAATTATCCAGTGTACCAACCACCATCATCTATTGCAAAATCCATAAACATCACAAACTGTAAGCTTAACTAGAGGAAACTAATACAACATCTTCACCATTGCATCCATCTTGTCCCTCATCTGTAAATAGGACCGCCTCCATAGCCTGTTCATCAAAGCGAGATGTTAGCTATCCCAAGCATTCCAATAACGTCAAGTGAGTCAAAGTTATCTCCCGCAATATCCCACGTTTTTGTCTCTCCTTGCAAGTATTGGGAGCTCCTCCTTGATAAAAGACGAAGATTGCTATGAATGAATACCAAGTCCTCCACTCATTGAGGGATCATCTTGTTCTTTCTCACCTAGTGAATAAAGGAGTAAGTACTCCAATTTCTCTCACAACAAGATAAAGGAGGCAGGTTGCACAAGTAGTCTGAAAACTAGTTTTTGAAGTGTTGGTGCGTATGCACCATATCACCACCAAGTATAAGGATCCATGTGACACCTATTATGAATGGAATCATATTCGGAGAATGCTTCAACATAACCCGAAAATTTTTCAGACTCTGTTTTCACCTTGGTTTGCTCCGTGATATCTTTAAAATACCTCTTGAAACACTTGTTTCTCTCGCGTGTCACCTCTTCATCCCTATGTGGAGGAGCTTTATTTGGATCCTCATGGAGCCACTCATCACTATAGTACAGTACCTACAATACAAAATAGGAAAAATAATTATTTCAAGAAAGACTAGATAAGTCCATTAAAATAAAATATCTAAAACAATTTTAAATGTGGTATTTACTTTGGATTCAATGAATGTGCCATACAATGGAGAGGAGTATTGTTCTTATTCCAATGATCCACGAGAATTTGATGCACCACATTGTAAAATGTATATATTATCATCTTCTCTTTCTCTATCATTGTGTCCCACATATCATGTACTAAGTGAAGACAAGGCTTTTCCTTATCACAGTCCCTAAGCATGTCATATATAGGACCCATGAAGAAAAGAATATAATCAATGTAGTCCCACCACACATTATCCAAAGTCTTTTCTTTTATAAATTTTGCCTTCCCAACATCATCCTCTCTATAACAATTCCACTTGTCACTAATCCCCATTGCTTGAAGACCACGTTTTATATGTTTCAACCTCTTGAGCATAACAATTGTGGAGGCAAATCATGTTTCGGCAACCGAAAGCAACTTCAACGACTCAAATTCATTGTATATAGCCAATCGCTTTGAGTGATTAGAGATAAAATTCTTAATCATCAAACCATCTCCGACAATATCACTAATCCAACTACACTCCTCATATGTGACTTCATTCCTCTCAATATTCTTTGCAGCACAAATATTTTTCAAAGTTAGATTTAATGTGTGCACCACACAAGGAGTCCATAAAATACGAGGGAGTTGAGCTTCAATGAGTTGTCCAGTTGCCTTACAATTAAGAGTATTATATTGTATGACTTGAACCACATTACTTGCCCCAACCTCATTAATCACTTCTTTCATAAAATTTGCAATGAAATATTTGTCTTTAGTTTCTCCACAACAATCAATTGCCTTAATGAACATAGGCCCACTTTCACTCATTGCTATAAAACTAATCAGAGGCCTCCTTTGAGAATCACTCCAACTATCATTAACAATGCTCACCCCTTTTTCCGTCCATGTGCCCTTAATTGGTTGCAACAATCTGTCAATCTTTGCTCTCTCCTTTTGAAATAATGTGGTTCTTAACAAATTATAAGCGGGAGGCAAATATCTAGAAATATTATGATTTGCAGCAGATGAGTAAGAGCTAACATAGTAAGGGTTCCTTGCAATTGCTCTCTATAGTATCCTTCATGTTGAATGCTTTCTCAATAGCAGTCCCACTCCTAGTTCCTGCCCCACTCCCACTCCCACTCCCACTCCCACATGTTCTCCTCTTCTTTGATTCATAAGCATTACCCACTGATACACTAGAAGAAGGAAATGGAACATTTTTGGGATGAGCATTTTTAATTCTCAATTCAGCAACATTATTCTTATTTTGTATTTATGAAAGTTTTTGACTTGTAACTTTCTTACAAGCATAAATTCCCTTTCTTGGGAGTTTTAACAGGTGTATCCTTACACTTGTATATGAATCTTTGAAAGTATTATTACAAAAATTACATTGTAATTAATTGGTAATTTCCTCCTCATTTTCTAGGTTTTGCTAATTTAGTTATATACTTCTACAATGGTTTGTTGTCATCAAAATCATCATCAGGTATGTCATTAGAACTACCACCCGTAGTAGCCATTGCCATATTTCATAATTAAAAATTGGTTTCTATAATAAAATTAATAAACACATATCATTAAAATTAACAAAACTAATTTGTTCTTATAAACTAATTAGCCAAAAAAAAGAAAAAGAAAAAAAGAGAATATAAATAACAAAAAAAATCATAGAACAATTAAAAAAAAAAAAGAGTCAGAGAGAGAAAGAAAGAGGTTACATTATTAAAAAAAAAAAATAAAATAAAGTCAAAGAAAGATAGAGCGGCAGAGAGAAAAAAAAGAAAGAAAACAAAGTCGAAGAAAGAGAGAGAGTGACTGAGAGAGAGAAGATCGAACGAAGAAGAAGAGAATCGAAGAACATACTTTCGATATGGTGAACAACAATAGCAGTGACAACCCTTTCTCTCAGTCTTCTCTTCTTTCTATTTGATGTCTAGGGTTAGAAATTGGTTTATTATTATTATTTTTTTTTTACAAATTGACTCCCACTTGAAGTGTCAGAAATTATGTTTTTCACTCAGATCGAACGAAGAAGAAGAGAATCGAAGAACATACTTTCGATATGGTGAACAACAATAGCAGTGACAACCCTTTCTCTCAGTCTTCTCTTCTTTCTATTTGATGTCTAGGGTTAGAAATTGGTTTATTATTATTATTTTTTTTTTTACAAATTGACCCCCACTTGAAGTGTCAGAAATTATGTTTTTCACTCTGCGGTGTCCGAAATGTGTCTCGAACGTATCTAGCTGCAAAAAAAATAAAAAATGGGACACCTTATGGAGAGTGTTGGACACGTGTCCACAGCGTGTCTGACACTATACACAACCCTTAGAGAGGTGTCTGTGCTTCATAACTTTTATTTTTTGATTTGGGATGGGGGATTTGTTAGGAGGATTGTGCATAGTAGAAATTAATGTTAAGAAATATGCTAATTTCTTTCTCTTTCAGTGGAAAAGAACATAGCATAGTTAGTGACTGTTGTTCTAATTCTTATAAAAATCTTCTTGTTCAAATAACTATATCATATATAATAAATACATATATATCATAGGGCAAATATCATTTTATCCCCCTGTGGTTTGGGCTCTGTGCGGTTTATTCCCCTAACATTTGGAAATTACCATATAATCCCCACGTGATTTGTGGACTGAAGTGCACGGTTAAATATTCCATCCAACTTAACAGCAAGTGTGAAATATGTGGCAAACATAAGGGGGTTATATGTTCATTTTCAAATTTTAAGGTGATAAATCACACATGAAATAAAGCACAAGGGGTTAAGGCACTTTGCCTTCCAAACAAATGACGAAAATACAGAGATATTTTATTCTTTTTCATTAAATTGGTAACGGTCCTAATGGTGCATTTCAGTCCACAAACCAAAAGGGGGTTATATGGTCATTTCCGAATATTAGGGGGTAAATCACACATGATCCAAATCACAAGGGTGTAAAGTAAAGTTTGGCCTATATCATAATCAGGCAGAGCAATCATTAGTGCCCTAATTCAATTGCAACTTGTTTGTAGATGAGTTCATGTATCCAACCCCAACCCCATGTTTAAGAAGGTCAAACTAAGGTTGCCTATTTGTCGGGATGAGTTGAATTTAATTGGCTGTAGTTTCTGTGTGTTCTTCTAAGCAACCACGTTTACTTGTTAGTGTGCTAACATCTATGATTCATCAATTGCTTAATCATTGTTGCTGTCATGCAGCATAGTGTCTGGCTTGATGATGCATTTGATCGAGCAAGACAGTTATATTTGTCATATTATCGCTCCATTCCTAAAAGCTTAGAACGCTCAACCGCTCACAAGCTCATGCTGGCAATGTTGAATGGAGATGAGCGTTTTGTAGAGCCCACACCACAATCCTTAGAGAACTTAACATTGGAATCGGTAAGAGATGCAGTGATGAATCAATTTGTTGGTGATAACATGGAGGTGTGTAATTCTACACTATGTGATCTTTTATATGAATATTACATATGAACAAGACGATTTTTTCATCTTAATATGTGTGTTCTCTCATCAGGTAAGCATTGTTGGAGACTTCTCAGAGGAGGATATTGAGTCCTGTATTCTTGATTACCTGGGCACAGTGAGAGCAACACGAGGTTTTGAGACAACTCGTGAATTTAGCCCAATCATATTCCGACCATTTCCATCTGATCTGCAGTTTCAACAAGTGAGAATCGAAGCTAGTTTTATACTTAATAATTTGGAAGTTCTATGAAGCACGGATACTTCTAAAAGGGAGTTGTATCTATATTGTACCCATATTGGATACCAATACTCGGATACTCTTGGATGCGCATCAAGCAGTTCCTAAATGTGTCTCATACTTTATGCTAATTTTGAGAAGTATTGCAGACTTTCTGGATACTCTAGGTCATGTATCCAAACTATTATGAAATTGAGATTGTAATAATTTTTGCATAGTGTTAGAGTATAATTGTTAGAATAAATACAAAAATATTTGTAATATTTTTTTATTTATTATTGAAAAAAGATAATTGTGAGATTAAAGTAGCATCCTACTTTTCAAATTTTATCAAATGAACGTATCCACTGAAATGAAAGCAAGTGATTCACTCTTAAACTAATATCTAATTCCTAAAAAAGGGTTTCACTATTTTTTGAGCTCCTATATAATATAATACTAAAAATTATAAATTTTTTTATTCAATGTATCTTGGCCATTCCCGTATCCTATTTTTTTAAGATTTTGTTGTATTGCCATGTATCATATTGTATCAGTATCTTGTATCGTATTGTATCAGTATCTTGTATCCGTATCCGTATCCGTATCCGTAATTCATAGATCAAATGTGGTGTTTAATTTTACTGATTTTGATATCCTGAAGCTTGATTACATGGTTTTTTACAATGTTTCCTTTCAAATGTGGGATCTCATTAGTAATTTGCTACTGGACAGGTTTTCCTGAAGGACACTGATGAAAGAGCATGCGCATATATTGCAGGCCCTGCTCCAAACCGTTGGGGTTTTACTGCCGGAGGGGAAGACCTTTTTGACTCTATTCGGAATATGCCAGTTGATTGTGGTGAGATTTTGCATTATATACTGGACCATGTATTGAATTTTCAGCTTGTCCTCATTTGGTTGACTTCATAGAAAACTACAAGGGTTGATCATCCATGGCTCACCCAAAATCTTCTTAGAATTTCCTGCTGACTTTTTCCAATTGTCCTTTTTGATTTTGGATCAACATAAATTATTTAATCTATACTGGTGCCCACTCCTCCCCCTCTCCATTCCTTGGATGTTTGTAGTCTTGATGTCTTCACCTTCAAGCTTGCAAGTGGCTTTGACACCCCTGCTAGCTTTCTTTTGTCTGGATCTCTACGCCTCAAGGCAATTGCAGTCAGCCAGTTGGTAGGAATAATAAAAGTGATCTAAGTGGTTATAGTGTGATTTTGTAAAACAGTCGTAGAAGAGTTTTGCAAGTTAGTTCTCATGCATACATGAGATCAGGTCGTATTCTCTGAATAAGAACTAGATTTCCTAGGTCCCCAAGGGTTCTATAGGGCTAAGGTTGATAAAATTGGGATCCTAGATGGGATCGTTGGGAGGGACTCGTGGATTGGATCGAGGATCGTAAGATTCTACTTTTAATGCAAAATAAAATAAAAAATTATTGATAATGATAATTTTTGTTACATAATTTTAGAAAGTTTAAAGAAAATTGATAGATTTGATATAATGCATATTCCATGTCAAATTGAAAAATGAGTTTATAGTCAATTGTTTTTTAATAGATATACACATATACATACATATATATAAGAAATAAATAATAACAAAAAAATTTGGTAGGATTGGGATTGTAGTAGAATCGGGATCATATGCGATTCTACATGATTTTATGACTAGGATCAGTCACTTTAAGATCCTATTAAGTTGAAGATCGTAGTATGAGATCGTTTGGCTCAATTGAAGTCATAGAATCGTAAGATCCTACGATCCGAATCAGGATTCTGATAACCACTCCATCTCGAACCACCAAAGTAAAAAACTTGCTAGGTCTTCTTCTCTTAATAAAGAATTATGCAAAGGAGGTGGTTGTAACTATTTTCCGTTGTGATTGTGACCATCTAAAAAAATAAAAAATAAAACCCTTTTCTGTTGTGGGAATAGTTCAATGTTGGTTCTTCCAGTTCACAGCTGCATGTTCATTTGTTTTGAATATTAATGGTATGTTAAAAATGTCTAAAAGTTTGATGAACTTGAATTTTTAATTTTTTTTTTTAAAATAACTAAAATGTTATAAAAAAATTTAGTATTTGATATATTTATAGAATTTCCTTAAGGATCCTGAGTTTGATCAATCTTGAATGGGAAAGAATAATTTTTGGTTCCACACCTGTACAACGTCAGTTTGACAGCTATTTCTCAAGCTCTATCTTCACAGAGACAAGTTGATATATTTTGTTAGCTTCTTGCAACTCTTTGAGAAAATGTTTGGATGTACTTCTATTTTGTAATAGTTATGCTAGAGACTCACAAATTCACCGACAATGATGTGGCAAGGGAGTTAGGCCTTATATCATTGGGTGTGCAACAAATCAAAAGTCGACACCTATCATACCACATCATTGTGAGATCATTTTGTGGGTCTCAAACACTTTTCTTATAATTAAGGGGAAAAGGCACTGTTACTGAGTGTTAATTAAGGGGAAAAAGCTCAGAGGGAGATCTTTTATATCTTTCAAGATCCACCTTACAATATTGAGTTAAAAAAGACAAAATAAGTGATTTGGCTCCTCCATTGTGTGAACAATCTAATGTCTTTCCATGTTTGGCACCTTATATTTTCCTTTTGCTTTATTGTTTGAGGTAAATATTTTTGTCTGGTAAAAGCTTGAGGTTCTTTCTTTTCTATTTACTTACAAAAAAAAAAAAAAAAAATGAACAAAAAAAAAAAATAAACAAAAGAAAGGAGAGGCATGATAGGGAACTTGGCCTGTAACTATAAGCTTCAGGATTCACTTGAGCTGTGGGTTACACGAAGACTTAAATTTATATAAACTGTTTTAAAAGTGTAGGTTTGAGCTTGGAATATACTGAGTACAACAAGAACATTTGGGTTGCGGTATTGTTTATTAGTCATTGGATTGAAAATATAGACGCCAAACTTGAGCAATAATACATTGATATGTGGTATAAGTCGGTCAAGTTGTGACTTGAGAAATTGCTTTGCAGAGGAACAATCAAAATCTGAGGAATCACCTGTGGATAGAAAGGATGCACACAACAACCTGCAAGGAAGATTTTGCTGTCATCCGCTATTCTTTGCCATTACAATGGGCCTGTTGGCTGAGATAATAAATTCAAGGTATTCCCAAGTGCAGTATTCTGTTAAGCTTTTAAGCATTAGAGATAAAATCAAATATGAGAATATCTATTCTTCTTTCCTTTCTGAGTACTGCATGTTGTACCAATCTTCATCACACTGTCCAAAGTCACTAGTTGTGGGTTGTTCTCATTCAGTACAGCTGCAAAAAACCTAATCTATGAAGCACGGATACTTCAAATAGGGTGACGTATCCGTATTGTATCCGTAGCGGATACCAATACTCCTTGGATACTCGCGGATACGTATCGGATACTTGTTAAAAGTATTAGATACTTCTTAATTATTTTTTCATTAATTTTGGAGTATCAGATACTTAATTTTGAAGTATCGGATACGCCAAGTCATGTTTACTTGTTTTATAAAATTAGAATTGTAACATTTTTTGCATAGTAATATAATATAATATAATTGCAAGTATAAATATAAGAATATTTTTCTAATACTTTGTTAAGTTCTTCGATAAAAAGAGTATAGTGAGTTAAATAATAGAATTTATCAAATTGATGTATCCTAATTATTTTATGCATGTCCCCTATATAACTACATAGATAGTAAGAATTAACAAAAGAATACAACAATGATAAAATAAAATATCAATAAATAAATAAGCAAGTAAATTTGAATATAATATTTTTCACTAGTGTCAAAGGAAAAAGTATAGGGACAAGTTGTGAATTGTGCTATTATTGTAATATAAATATATTAAACTTGATATTGAAATGAAATATTTGCAAGACCTATTAAAAATTTAAAAAGTAAACAAGCTACTAGCTTAAATTAATACAAAGTTCTTGAAGGTTAGTATTTTGCATTATGAAATTACATTGTGGTTTCTCAACGTTCTTTAGCTTATGTGTAACTCACTATTAATAATTTTAAAAAATATATTTTTCACAAACGTATCCTAACTGTAAAAAGAAATGTATTATTGATTGATGAGTTGATTGATGTGTTACAAGATTGATCTATTCTGTATATTACAACTCCTATATATAGAGGAGAAGATGGTAGTGGAGTGTGTGATAGTGGAGGTGGTAGGTGTGGAGAAAGATAGTGGAGGTAGTAGGTGAGTGGTAAATTCTAACACTAACCATACCGGTATCTTATTTTTTTAGGTTTTGTCGTATCGCCGTATCCGTATCGTGTCGTATCCGTATCTCGTATCCGTATCTATGCTTCCTAGAACCTAATTAAATAAGAATATGACATTGGTTCCACTGTTGTTTTCGTAAATATGTAGTTTTTTTTTAACCTTTTCTGCTCCTTGGGTTTTTATTTCGTTGTTTCAACACAACTGAAAATGAATTATTATGGATCATATCAGAACATCAACAAGCAAAAAAATTAGTTCTGTCTTTACCTCTGCTCTATCATTTAAATTTAAAAATCCTGGGAAAAATAATTCAGTAGGTTTGAAGTCCGAAAATTCCAGTTCCTTCTAAAGTGAATGTAATTTTTTTATTTTTGAAGATGTGAAATATTCAACGGCCATTGTACAGGCTTGTTACAATGGTTAGGGATTCTCTTGGACTAACATATGATCATGATGTATCATTTGATGGCCACTGTACAGGCTTTTTACAACAGTCAGAGATTCTCTTGGGTTGACATATGATGTATCATTTGAATTAAACCTGTTTGATCGGCTAAAGCTTGGGTGGTATGTCATCTCAGTAACATCAACACCGGGCAAGGTGTGTCTTTTCAGTTCTGATTAATATTTGCACGTAATGATTTTCCTTAATTTGTGGTTTCCTTACCTATTAATTCCCATTCATCCAGGTGTATAAAGCTGTTGATGCTTGCAAGAATGTTCTTAGAGGTTTACACAGCAATAAGATTGCACAAAGGGAGTTGGACCGGGTTAGTTGCTTTACAAATTTAGAGTACTGTTATTTGTCTTTATGTTAGTTATGGCTCCTTATTGGCCTTGCCTTTTTAAGAATGATTCCCGACAGGAATTATATTTGATGGATATTAAAGGTATTTGCCTGCTCCTTCTGATCAATATAAAGCATATAGTCTCATATGGTCACACTCAATGAAAATGATTCCGAAATTGACAGACGAGTTTGCATGCCGATGCTAGGATTATTACATTGTTCATTTGAAATTTTATAAATAATGAAACTCATTTTCTACATTAAAAGGCAAAACGGACCCTGCTGATGAGACATGAGGCTGAAACCAAGTCTAACGCATATTGGCTAGGATTGTTAGCTCACCTGCAAGCTGCTTCTGTTCCAAGGAAGGTGAAGTGGAAAATAACCAAAAGCTGCCTTTCATTTTTTAGTCTGGTTCTTTTCTTATATTGAAACATAATATATCAAAGATGCTCATTTATTTTTAATTAACATCTTGGAATTTTTTCCGGTTCAGGGCATATCATGCATTAAAGATCTTACCTTGCTATATGAAGCTGCCACTGTTACAGACATTTACCTTGCATATGAACAGTTGAAGATAGATGAGAGTTCCTTGTATTCTTGCATTGGGATTGCTGGGGCTCAGTCTGGAGAAGAAATTTCTGGTAAAGACAGATCTCTATATACTATATGAAGTTCAAATCTATAAAGTTCTGCCATCTGGTATTCCTTGTTCTTCACTTTCTTTGGATTAATAACTCAGAATATGCAGGAAAAGAATGTTGTTTATTATCCTGCTATTGGACTTGAAATACTGAAGAACTGCAGGAAGTGCTTAAGATGTAATTAGCTTGCTATGAATATAATTAAAAATGAAACGAAAAAAAATGAAGAAAAAGAACTTTTAACTAGCTTGATTCGTTGAGGTCTGTTGCTGTTAGATGTAGTTGTCTTCTGATGCCCCACAATTATTAGGATTTATGTTTTGTTAATCTTACTAAATTTCTTTGGTATCTTCTTCACCATTATCTTGACTAATGTTTCGTCCGCAGCTTACTTAGAAGAAGAACAATCAGTTGATGGCATTCACGGCGTTATTCCTTTGGGGCGTGGTTTATCAACAATGACACGGCCAACTACATAAATTTCCTGTTTTGCATTTTTAGTTTTGAGCTGAAAGCAAAAACGACACCATTATGAGGTATGTTTCTCACAATAAGATGATTGCCAGAAGATGGAATTCATTGCTCCCAAAGTTTCCTAAATCTCAAGGGACAAAAGGTCAAGTGAACATGCCTAAAATAAAAATACAAGGCAGTGTGGTAGTGATGACAATGACATTTTGTTCTGGCAAATGTGAACCTTTGTTCTGGCATCTTCTATTAAACTGTTCGTTGTGTGTTTGTTCAATTGTTTGGATGTGTTAAGGACTAAATATTATTGATTGGCAGGTTGGTCTTTAGTTTCGAATTCTTGCTGCTTTTGACTTGAGTTCTTGTTGAAGAGAGGCTGCCCTGCAGATAAACATGGTGCATCCAAAAGAAAATTAGTCGGGTGTTGTTGTGTAATACAGATTCTGTTAGGATGTGGAAAACTGACACGATCTTGGGCTGCAAAGTCAAGTGTTTGTTACTCTATTTATTATTTAGCAGGTAGTAGGCCTGGGCTGTCTGTGCCTACGGTCCATCAAGCAGAAGAAGCTTCAACAGAAGTAGAAGGGCATGTCTTCTTCCATATCAATGCAAGTTTGGTATTGTGTCAAGAAACTTGCCATAATTACTTGCCCCAACAGATAAACAACAAGAGATGATATATGCTCTAAGCATTTCTTGTCATGTAGGGACTGGCTGGTTGGCTTCAAGTTACTGATTGGCCAGCAGTTCTTAATATTGCTGTTGTGAAGGGTGCAATGGCTATGTTATTGTGTTGTAATGATTAGTTGTCATTGCTAAGCCTACCAAAGTGTATACCACTTATTTGTGGAATTTTTATTAGTCCAAACAGCTAATTTGCCTATATTGGTGGCTTATTTTATAGGGACCGTACTGACTATTCCTTTAATTATGATGCGAGTATTTCTTGCTTGTTGGTTTAATAAATAAATAAAAGCCATATTTTATTAGAGAAATAATATTCTCACTTCACTTTTAGCCTCTCACACTTCACTTTTGTATAATAAAAAATGTTGTTTGTGAGTGGGTTATAGTGAAGTGAATATTGTTGTCAATTTACTTTTAGTTGATATCATTGTGTACCTGTATTTTTTTGGGTAGGTGATTGTGTACTTG